TTTTAGGACGAATTGGTATTTAAGGGTAAGACGTGGAATGCCTTGCAATTGTTTTGATATTTTATAGGTAAGAATAGTGTGGTGGGTCAAAGAAAAATGGTCGGAAATAAATAAGTTGATTATGGATTTGTTTATATTTTAAATATCACTTGTCATTTTGTGTTACATGCCATGTTAATGTGAAATGATGACATGACCATGTGGCATTTTCACCTTTCTATGTTAGTGTCATGTTAATATCATGTCAGTTTCATATAAATATAAAATAACAAACACCATTTTGATTTATGAAATTAGTAAATCATTAATTATAAAAATTTATTTAATTTAAAATAAAAATATAAATACTTGATTGAAAGTGATAGAGAAATAAAAATTTATTAGAGTTTTCTTAAATAATTTAGAAACTTTTTCAAACATTATGCCTTTGAATTTTAATATGGAAGAGATGACGAGGACAAGCAAGCATTGTAGGAGCATTATGTACTGAGACAAGTACCTTAGAAATTTTATTTTATAAATATGTTGAGAAGACTCGTATAGTGTTGGCTGATAAAAAAAAAGGGACTCGAATAGTGTTGGACTCCTTGCTACTAAGGAGGCATTTGTGATTTTTATTGCGTTAAAATGTATAAAATTATATCGGTTCATTATTGAAAGTGATTTCATCAATACGATAAATGAGTTCAAAATCCACTCGACTCCTCCTAAAGGATGTGGAAATATGTTCTACGTATTGAGTGTCTAAAAAAATAGGTTCAATTATGACAAATCCTCTCCACTCCTAGAGAGACAATTGATATTGCAGACAATTTTACTGTTGTGAAAATTATGAAATTATCTCTAAATTTCATAGGACGACGTATAATAATCTTGTGCTAATATAATTAAGATATATTATACTAGTATAACTAGATTTAAAAATTATTTTAATAAGATATTTTAGTTTAATTAGAATTAAATTATCCTAACACATAGAAAAACTAGTGTAGTTAGAGCTGAAGATCTTCTCACCGTGTGTAGCTAATGGTGAATATACGATTGCAGGTTTGATTTTATGGGAAGCTGATACTTTGGTCTATACGAGGTTAATTTTAGAGTTCTATGTCCCTAGAAATTAACAAGGATTTGTGTTTATGGGAGTGGTGGCTGGCCTATGTAACGGATTGAAAGAAGTGTAGGTGAAGCTTAGTAAGTCTCAGTAAGGCGGGAATCCGGAGATGTCCCTCCTTCGTAACGTTGAAACTCGGCCAATAATAAATACAAAGAATACTTCACCAAACGTTTTAAAAGTTTTAAATTGGGTTGGTTCATGGTTGGCCCCTCGAATAACCCTTCAAAGTCTGGAATTTAAGTGGTACTTTTCAATTCGCAGCAGATAAAATAAAATAAAATTACAAAAAGCTGAAAGCCCGGAAATTAACTGATGAAAAGGTCGGTTCCTTACAAATTGTTGTCTAAGACTCGACGGGCGACTGCGTACAATTATGACGCTTCGCCCTCTCATCTCATCGTCATCAGCCTCTAATTTCTTTTCCATTTCGCTCGTGTAGATAGAGCGAAAGCGCTAGGCCCCGTACGACTCCAGGCACTAAATATATAGCCAGAGAGAAAAAGCACTGGATTTGTGTGGCGGGTCCCTGAATATAGAGTCTAGAATCATAGTCTGATTACACTGTTATAGTTTTACACGTGCCATTACATTATTGACTGTTGTAGGTCGTACCTGCAAAACTAAATGTGTGATTGAAATGACATTTTCTACGGTCTATTGTCATCGTTACAAAGGCTAGCAAGTAGTTTATGAGATTGCTGGAAACAACGGCGCCAAAATTATGCACTACTGCGTACTTCTTCTATGTTTGCTTATTTTAAAGGCTTTGACCACGACAATGAATCAGTGACATGATCTTACCCAGAAGATAAAGTCAATAATTTTGCTGTCACACAGCATACTAGTTTTTCCTGACATATTAGATAAAGACTTGTCGTGGCATACTAATTGTTCTGTCTTTCAAAAGAAAAGAATTTTAATGTCATGAAATTAAAAATTAATATATATTTATCAAAGTTAATGAATGTGGCATATATGCAATGCGTGCAACGTTCCAAAAATTGCAGAAAAAACATGCGAGAGGACATAATTCATGGGTGTTGTTAACTTTGCAACTGAAATTTTCATGTTTAGTTCGTTTTTTGCTCTCTTCGTGCACGCAGGTTAATAAAACCGGTCAAAACCCGGTGGTTGTTTAGAGCAATAATGCATTCGCATAAAAAGCATGAAACCTCTCGTCGTCGGATCGTACTGTTCTGAAATAAATAAAGCTTTTGTAAGGATGCTCTGTATTGGGTACAGAATCTGGCCACTCTAAGAGCTTCAGTTTTGTCAGCATTAGGACCTGAATTTGAGGTGATAGCTCGACTGCATATGGCGCTTCAAATTTACCCTGAAATGATAGATCCTAGTTAAGGTGCTGCGCATTTTGGCGCAGAAACATTTAACAGCTTCTCCTTTTTATATGTCGAAAAGGCCTCGATCGGACAAAGACATCTGCCAGTGATTCGCAGCAGGGTCGTTGAAACCGTTCCATTCCCCTACTTTCCGTGTATATATATGTATTGCTTTTTCCACGATAAAATTTACACAAAGCTAACGGACTAATCTTTTGAGTATACGATTTGAGTTCTTAAATGTTCAACTAAACTATTTGAAGGGATCTTAAAGGGGTCGCCGCCCAGTTAAAAATGCAGGCCATAAACATGGGCTCCGATTTCATAAGTTGTCGTACTACAATCTATATGGAAAAATATTCAAGCATGTGTAATTTGTGCTAGCTGCTTGTGATCGATTGACATGGAAAGAAGATGGACCCCATTTATAATCTGTAAGCATTTTGTGAAACCCTGACTGCATTACTGATTGAAGCGTCGGGTGTCCAATTTCGAAAAGTTTTCATCTTATATGTTAAACCTTTAAACTTAAAAGTTTAACAGTCAGAAATCCCGATTACGGAAATGGTAAGTACAGTTCAAGGATAAGCACTGTCTTAGAATGCTTTACATTTAAGTCGTTTCTCTAACATGTGCTAATGAATCCTTGAGAATGTAATCATTCCACAATCAATACAATCTTAAAGAAACAATGCCATAAATGCCATAATGATTATTTCCGTAATTGCTATGCAAATGCAGTCACCACTTATCCTGGAAAGAGAGGGTAAAGGAGATGGGAGGGGGGGGCCGGGGGGCCACAAGTTTAGCTTTTGGGTTGATCAGGGCCTTCTGACTGCAAAAGGAGCAATCGATATGATCACTGCCTTTATCTCCTCCATTTGTCTTCTTTCCAGCTTCCTGGTGCTTTTCCGTGTGTTATCTGGGGATCCATGAAATGTCAATGGTACATTTGCACATAAAAAAACCATGCTTATCCATAGTTTTTCGTTTATTATCTTCATGACAACTGATGCGTGCCAAATTGCAGCTAGCCTAGCTCCTCATCCTTTTGTTTCCGGAGATTAGAATATTAACGAATTATTGAGATCTAACTAGTTTGATGTAATTCTTCGGTTTACAGTTAAGGTTTTTGCTTTGTCCCCCAGTTTTTACCATCCTACAGTAATTTCCTTCCAAAAATATCTTCTTTCTACTTAGTTTACTAGTTTTGTTCTCTCCCATGAGATTCATTCTTTTTACAACTTCAATTATAGAATAAAAGAAAAACGACACATGTCATAAGAAATTGTGGATATTTGAATCAAATTCAAGAAGTTATTATTGGGATGAAAAATTTTGATGTTTTGTTAACTTAGTATTTTAAATCGACCGCACAGGTTTAAATTGTAACATGTAAATTTATATTTGATGTAGGATTAAAATAAGATATATCATTCATTCCTATTAATAAATAATAATTTATCATTTTATCCGATTACTAACATTTATAAAGATTCCAAAAGTTTCTTGCTGGGGAGAAAACTATGAGCCTTGGTTAATATGAGAAATTACAATTGATCATTTAAAGACTCGTATAAAAGACAATATATAATTATTTTTATGTAAATAATATTTCTTCTATACTGTACACATTTCTTTAACAAAAAAGATGGGCCGAAGATCAATTCCTGCCGTCGAGGATTCATTTTGGGCTTACTTTATACTTGACCCATTGGGTCAGCCTCAGGCAGAACTGAGCGGGCGGCAACTGGCAAGGGTATCGATTAGATCCTTTGCTCAATCCCATCCGAGTTCTGTTCTTTTCCGCTGACAGTGTCTTTCTTTTGTCTGATAGTACCCATCGGCCGCTTTTACGTTACAACATGCCTTTACTGTTGTACACAGAAATTTAAAAACAGTTTCAACGTATCTTTCAAAAAGCATTTTCGACTTGTCCAGGAAAAGGAAAAGAAAGAAAAAATGGACAATAAAAACAGATAAGAAAATCATATTTCCACAGCCTGTGGCTCAATTAAATGGCCATGCCAAACCAACCTGAAACCGACTTTCTTTTTTTAATCAGACTGACAAGTAAGCTTGACAATGTTGTTGATTTCTCAACAGCATAAGAAATTAATATCTCTGAAGAAAGTTTGCCAAATCACTGTCATGGACTATCATTATACAGCAGAGAAAGTATAGGTATAGTATGTCTGAAATACTGAATCACTGACATTTTAACCTAAAATAAATTACTACTACAAAAGAGGGAAAAATAAAAACAAAATCTTTCTTACTATTCTGAACTAGAAGCCTGGAGGGGTTAGAAGATTGTGACTGTGGTGTCAAACATAATTTTAAAATAAATCTTTACTAACTTCAGCTAGTATCTCACTTTCTTAATTACATGCACCGTATCTAAAAATTCACATTTACCTTTTTGGGCTGTTGCTTTGTTAATTGTTCAGTTTTAATGTTTTATCCAACTATTTTTCTAAGAGTGGGGTGGTGAAGGAGATAAGACCAGTCAAATATACAGACATTGCATGGGAATGAGCTATGAAAGTTTTTTTACTAGGATTTTAATGAGTCTTCCGTCCCTCTGTCTCTCTTTCTTCTCTTCTCTCTCCTGATGTTTATATAAACCTTGGCATCTTTGTTCGTCATAGACCCACTTTTCTTGACTGCTACTTCTGGCTGCCTTGAAGTATCATCAGCTCTCTGAGCCTCTGTCTCTCCCATCACTTTCTTGAAACCTTGCATTTTCCTCTTTCTGAATTGCAAAAACCGCTTCCCCATATGGCAGCCTTTTCATTCCAACCTCACCCTTTTCTTCTTGACTCCATTTTCTTGCCCAATACCCCCACCAAAATTTCTGGCTTTATGGAGGAAGGAAACATCAACTCCAATTGTTTCTCTCAAGTTTACCCACCCGAGCCTATTCAGGAGTCCCCTTTTGACCCTAAGTTCCATGAAAGCAGCTGTCTTGATCACAGCTCGAAGATTGTTTATAGCGATAATGAGCCTTCTGTGACCAAAAAACAGAGCACTGACGACTCAACTGTGGTGGATAAGCTTGAAAGCGGCGAGCAAGTCACTCAGAATGTGACTCTCACAGACAGGAAAAGGAAGACCAGAAATAGGACTGCCTTGAATTCCGCTCAATCTAAGGTATACTTCTTGAAAACCATGTATATTCAACAACTTACAAATTACATGTGCATGCTGGTTTTAATTTACATAATATTCTTCGGCTTTTCGATGATTGGTTTTTAAATTGTTTTTCAATTTATCCTGATATGTGTCCAAATTTTCATGCTTTCTTTCCATTAGGATGCAAAGGAAGGGAAAAGCAAGAAGCAAAGGAAGTGCAATGATGCCCTGAAAAATGAAAAGAAAGAGCCAAAAGCTGATAAGAAGGATCAAAAGAAAGCCACTGAAGAGCCTCCCACAGGCTACATTCATGTAAGAGCCAGGAGGGGTCAAGCAACAGACAGCCACAGTCTAGCAGAAAGGGTACCGCAGCACTGTTTTTCTTTTTCTAGCTAGTCAATGTTTGGGGGTTAGAGAGTTAGAATCCCAGGCTTTTGCAGGGGCTGGGCTCAGCCCTCAGCTCCTGCTGAGTCAATCCCATCGCCTAGGGAGAGTGGGTGAACGATGGGACCAAGCTACCCCGGGGTTCGGTTACCATCATCATTTGACGTTAAAAACCCTTGGACTGAAATAAAAGTACGAAACTTTAGTTCACTATTATACCCACACTAATAGGCATTATATTTAATATTACAACTTTATCAGGTCGACCTATTATTTATTTCTTGTTGGTTATAACTCCAAATGGACTGCAGGTAAGAAGAGAGAAAATCAGTGAGAGGATGAAGATATTGCAGCGTCTTGTTCCAGGGTGTGACAAGGTGCGGTGCAGTACATTTGTCTTGACTTTGTCTTTCACAGGAAAATAATGCAATTGCTTTAGTTCATTTGGGTAATAGATCGACATGGTACATTTCTGACAGCTTTCATGTGGTTATGCACGATAATAGGTAACTGGAAAGGCCCTTATGTTGGATGAAATTATCAATTATGTTCAGTCCCTACAAAATCAAGTGGAGGTACAATAAACAACTGTTCACATTTGTAATCCAACTAGTTAACTCATTCCTCTAATGTAAGACCAAAGCAATGATATATTTTCTCTGTTGTCATGTCTTCAGTTTCTCTCAATGAAGCTTGCTTCTGTGAATCCCATGTTCTATGACTTTGGAGTGGACCTGGAAGCATTGCTGGTCAGACCAGAGGTAAGAAAACATGGGATAAGAAGGAAATTATTTTTAAGTTGTTTATATGTTCTTCTTATAGCCATTATTCATTACAAAAGCCAATGAAATCTTTGTCTCTGACATAATTATTTTAGAGAGTGAACGGTAGTATAGCATCACCACTGCCATCTCTGCAACAATGCAACCCCACTCAGCCTACAGCTTTTCCTTATACAACCACCACCGCCTTTGTCCCAGCTAATAACTATCCTCTTCTGGATACTTCAGCTGCACTTTTACTTCAGCAGGGGCAGAGGCCCAATGTCTTTTCTCAGGTATATACATATATATATATATACTTTATTTGTTTTAACAATTTTGTGTGCCATAAGTAGTAGCAGTAGTAGTATAGTAGTAAGAAGATTACAAAAGAAAATACTATATTTAATAAAAAAATATATATTCTAACTATTTGACAACACATCTTTTTCAGGATAATGGTAGTCTATTGTGGGATGTGGAGGACCAAAGACAGAAATTTCTCAATTCATCTGGGCTCAACGACAACTTGTGTTGTTTCCATTAATTTTAATACAGAGAGCTGCCCTACAAACATCTGGTAGTAAGCCCTCATGTCCTGTCTTTCATGCAATAAAATATTTATAAAAAAAAAATAACTTACATGTTAGTTTATCAACAAGAAATTTACTACATTCACATACTTTTTTTTTCATGTACTCTCTTTTCTGACTTTTGCTCTTTTTTTGTGGATTTATCTTATCCAGCTAGCTTGCAAAAGGAGATACCAAAACCAACCAAAACTAGAGAAAAGGAAACCACCAGGAAAAGAAGAATCAAAACACGGCTTCTCTTTTTCTAGCCAGTATCAGCTCAAGTGGAGGGGCCTTCTCCCTAAAGCTCTAGTTCCAAGTCCAACCGAGTAAATTAAGCAGCATCTGAACATGAATAAAGGGCAGCAACATCAATGGAGGAAGAACACAAAGGACAGATATAACCGACCAAATAAGACCAGATCTTTTTGTAGATCCCCTGTTCCTGTCCATTTTGACTCCCCCAAGTCTCCCATGCACAAATTCCTAGACCCTACGCCTATTTACTGTTTTAGCTTAAAAAACAAGAACCCTTTAATTTTTTTTTTAATTATGTAGTAAAAATATTGTAATATAGAGGTCGACCTTATAAAGCTCCTTTCCTGTTGTTACAGTTATTCTGTTATTACAGTTATTTTTACCGCTGTCTTATTTCCTCCTGTACCTTTGATTTTATCTATGATTAATAAATTCACAATTGAAACTTTGATGGATGGTTATATTTCTTTATTTCATTTCAACTATAGGGAATATGACTAATCAAAATTAATAATTAAATAGTACAATTAAGAAAGGTGATTAACCTCGAGAAAAAATGGTAAAAACAAATATCATCCACCCTTAAGAATTAAGCTGGACAGTGGACAGTAAAAATAAGATATAGCTTGGTAGGTTGTGGCGCTGAGGTGGATGTAACCAGTTCTGCAATTCAATGAGGAATCTTCTTGTGTTGTAGCATTTATGGGGACTGAGTTTTATTAATGAGATGATTTCCCCCCCTACCCACCCTTTTGTAACGGTTGTACACAGAGCATCTAAATGCAGTCGCAGAGGCTTCTTTTTCCCCGTGCAAATCTGATCCAAGTATTAGCCACTTGTTTACTTTTCCTCTTCCTAACAGTGCCAATTAATAATTGCTCTTTCTTTCAAGATACTCATCACATTTCCGCAACAAATATTCAAAATTAACAAATTCTTTAATTCCAACAAATTCAGAAACAATGTTGGGTATTTTTCATTTACGATGTCCAAATATATAGCCATAGCATCTTTGGATATGGATCAACAAGATTCTGAAGACAACATGTATTTGCTGTCCAAAGCACCAGAATTTTTTTTTTTCATTGACTGATGATGGCCATAGAAGAATGATGATCTACACACACACACACAAAAAATCTATTTTTGGGGGAGATAATTTGGCTTAATCACATCTATTTTTAGTGACTTTTGTTAACTGATTTTATTCCACGGGATGGATAGGCAGATTTTGAGGCTTGTAATTCGTTTGTATTGGAATATTTGGTTTTCAGTTGAGAAGGAGAATATTGTGGGGAGAATTTAGAAGAACATGGGAATTTTATTTTCAAAGGTCGAGGAAAGAATGAAAGCTAGGCAGTCAAACTATAATGGTCATGGAATTAGAAAAAAAGTGGTGATCCTGATTTGAGATTGTTACCAGAATAAATATACCCAAAAAGCTATGATAATAATAATAACAACAATCAAAGGTCCGGATTAAAGAGTAACAGCAAAAGCCATTGACTTTGTTGTCCTTGCAAAACTTCATAAAAAGAAAGTCAAGTTGTAACCGTCTTGATTAAAGATTTTAGTTTAAAGATTTTAGGCTTTTCTTGAAGTTCCCTCAAACTATTGAAAGCAAATGTAATTGAATTCTTTATTTTTGGTGACAAGACTTTGGAACTTGCCACTTGGCTAACTTTAAACATTTTTAATTCTTCTGTTATGCGAAAAACCTACCAAGGTAACTGGATTATATTTCTAATGATTGCATTATGATTTGATTAAACAGGTCATTAAGTACAAAATACAAAACCATAGGCCCCCCAAGAATGAGCATCAAAATGACTAAAAAGTGATTTGATTAAAGCATTCAAGTTAATTAATCCCTAATCAGATGGAGATTTAGGGGCCCCTTACACCAAGGGTGAGTCTGGCAATTATTTTCCAGGCCCCATATATGACAGTATTAAAAAGTGGGCTATAGAACAACCTGCTTGGAAGAGAAATTTGATTGAAAATCAAACTTACTGCAACAATAATGTAATTCCCAATTATCAGCATCCTCTGTATGACTCCCGTAACTAAACAGTTCTCTATTTTTTTTTTGGGTTGAGTGTTAGGTTCCACTGTTGTAGATGCAGACAATCCATGTGGTTCGGGTGTTCCACCTGTTTTTAACGCGGACCCACATGCCTTATTTCTTGCAGGAGTGGCTCAACTTTTCTAAATGCTGCAAGGAAACAAAGAACAAAGTTGGATCGTTATTCAGCATTTCAAGTCCCATCTGGAAAAAGTGAAAGAAAATTCTCAGCTCTAGAATCAGCTTGCTTCACCCGATCTTTTTACACTTTGAATTTCATTTCCTTCTATGTTTATCCCTCTAAAACACCTTTCTACTCTTTCACTGCAATGAAGATAACGTTTAAAAAAGAAAGCAAGACATGACAATATATATATTTATTTATTTCCTCTTTCATATACAACATCAAGCTGATAACGATGATTCAATTCTTAAAATGATTGGTAGCTAATAAATGCAAGAAGGGTAGCCCACTAAACTTTAATTTCTTTCCAAAGCTGGACGGACCGTCACATATTTGCCGATTGGCTCTTTAAAGAAACAAAAAAAAAAACTTATTTATGTCTTCAGATGACAGCTGATCATCATATCCTGGCTGTTGTCATTGTTTTTTGAAGTAAAATCAGATGTTTCTCAAATCAAAGCTGTTAACTGTCTCCAGAAGAGGAAAGTGTTGTCATCTGGATAAGGGGTGCTTATATTAGCATACAAATTCCATCCTCCACGCATTTGTAGGCTCACCTACTGATCAAATTGGTTTTCAGGGTCCCTCATGTTTTTCAAATCTTTCTTCAAATTTTCTTCTAAGTTAATTTTTGGGTCCCTTTGGTTATCAGTCGTAATTAAAACCCCCGGCAATATCATTTTCCGGTGTATAAAAAGAGTTCTGGAATTGTCGCCATTAATTAGGCTACATTGCTTTAATTAATTAATTTCTTCCAGATTCCAGCCATCGTACTATTAATGCATTGCTTGAATGAAAAGTTAGATTCGACGTAGAAGCTATCCTCTCGCCAATTGATAAAAATATTAGGCTGGTCAATCATAGAATAAAACAGGTTCCCTGTGATGTTACGATTTTATGTATACGCCTTGTCCATTGTCCTACATATATCGAATAGATATAGATAAAGATAAGAGTAAGTGCATAAAACTATATATGAATCTGATTCTAAACATGGAAGTAATCTATAATATTGACACTTGGGTAACACTTAGCTGTTTAATCTGATGAGATGTACACCTATTTTTAGTTTAAAATGATAATTTCAGTTTTCTTTTTTTTTTAATAAATTACGATTTTTAAAAGAAGCGTTATTGGAATTTAATTTTTTGAGTCAGAGATATATGTATTCTACCATTAAATTAAATACTTAAGTGCAAATCTCCTTTTTTTTTTTCAAAATTGATCTTAATAAAAGAAGATATTGATACCCTTTTAGCTAAGTAAATATTTACATCTGTATAATGAAGAAAAGCGTATCTCTAGCTACCCCAATTGGTCTCTTTTACCTTTATAACTTGAAATGAAGTGATGGTAGTTTTTGATATAATGATGAGGGAGGTGCCAGGATTTAACTCAAGGAGATGAATACTATATAATATAAATATTTATGTAAGACCGATATAATATTATTTTAGTACATTTTTAAACTGAATTCAATTATTTTAGAATTAATTTTTTTTGTAAAACATTGCTTTTATTGTGTTGATTATTGAAAATATATATTGCGATGAGAGTAAAATTTTGAAAGTTCTGAACAAAATAACACCTTATTTAATTGTTACTTTTATTACTTTTTTAATTTTTTGTTTCCAGAAATAAAAAATTACATTTTTAAGAAAAAGTAAACAATACTTTAGAAGAATTGGCAATGAAATGTTTGACTTTTTGACAGCAGCTTTTTTTAAAAAAAACTTTTATTGACAGCAAAAGAAATAACCTTTCTCCTTTAAATTAATATTGCATTTTTTTACCAATTTGTTTACTTTTAAATAATTATAATTTTGTTTCAGCTATTCTTTTTGTTTAATAGTAATTTTGATGAAGCAAAAAGGTACGTACGTAACTAGTGATTCCACAAAAACAAATTGAAGCATTTGGAAAAATAAATTTAAGCCAGTGATTCCACCGTTACTCTCTCCATTTCTTGTGATTTGGCCATAAAATTTATGAATTTCAGATTGGAAATAAGAGAATAAAATTATGATTTATAATTATAATTTATGAAGATGCTTCCAATGGATGGACCCAAAGAACCTTTCTCCTCTTGTCGCATCCTTGGTTTTCTTTAATTCTTCAACACTTATCTTATGCTTTGAATCATAGAAAAGTATTATATTATTAGATTCGTATATCTAGCTAAAGTCATAAAAAAAACCTTGGACATAATTTTTGTGCTTAATTCGTAGTATCTTCTCACAATATGTAATAAATTAACTATTTATGAGCGGCATTTATTGTTTGCTACTATATATTTCCATAAGAATGTTCCTCTTTTTTAGTTTTTTTTTTTTATATAATTAGAGAAAAGGAGAATTAAACTATATTTTTTAAGTATAGAGATCATGTATCAATTAATAAGGTAAATGCCCATGTGTTCTTTTTTCTTTAGTTTATATTCCTTATCTCCCTTTAATGAAACATCATTATTCAACTGATGTGATTTGTAATTAATACCAATAGGACATATTAAGCTTCTGATGAGTCCCCAAGAAGTTTATTTACACACTCAGTACCATTTTTTTTACTTGAATTATAGTAACGGAGGCAATGTTTCCTTAAACATTCTCATTTAAAGAAAAAGTTTCATCAATTTATAATTTCAAGTTTTAATATAACACCAAAAGACTATACTAATTAGTTAGGATTTTGACTCATTTCATGTATTTAATTCTAATTAAGGTCAAACAAAAATAGATTGTTTAGATTTCTCCAACTCCTTTGATAATTGGAATGTAAATTCCAACATAGCTAGTTTGCTGCTTTTACTACCGTTAGTGTCTCCTTGGTCCTTGCTATGGAACACTTTGGAATGTCTCCCGAACTTGCAAGCAAAAGCATTTGTCTTGAATCTTCGATCCTTTCTATGACGAGTCTTCATCCAAACAACAGAGATCGATCACTGCAGGTTTACATAAAGTCGCGAAGGTCAAGAAGACAAAGCCAGGGGGAAAAAAATAAGAGGAAAACTTTGCATATAAAAAGGAATATTGCATGGTAAAGCAACAAGGACGCCTGGCTACCTGCTTGACACTTGTCAAACATTCACGAAACAAATGTTTGACGTTAGGTATAGAAGAAAAGAAACAACCTAAAAGAGAAAAAATGATTTTAATTAATATTGTCTCCAAATTGGTGAAGCGACTCAAGCAAGGTATGAG